AGAAAAACATTTATCCAAGTTAAATTCCAATACAGGATAAATGGATAATTTCTGTTATTTAACTGGATTACCAAAATATTGCATCTCTCTACCTGAAAATCTGAAAGCATACAGTGTTTACAAATGTTCTCTTTAGCAACAATTTCAGTTCCCAAAAGTACACTCTTATATTTCACTTCTGGAATAAGGTCACTATGATCTTAGGTAAAATGTACAGTAAGCAGTTCAAGCAAAATGCTTATTGCTTAGATTTTAAAGCAAGCCACTTTAGTACAGTTGTAATTAAAATGCAAGTACAAATGTAAAGCTACTGTAGAAACACTTATAAACACCTCTTGCTTTTGAATACTTACTGATCACCTAAAGAATGGTGCAGGCTGCTTTTAAAATAATAAAAAGGAACTGTAAAACTATACCGTTTGTTGGAATGAAATTCAACAATACTTAAGACAGGTGTATGGACATGTAAACAAAGCTTTAGTATTCAGAGCTTGAGAATCTAGCAGCAAAACAACCCATTTGCATATAATGTAGTGCAATGAACATTTGTTCTTAAAAGATCCCCAGTCTTAAAACTACTTTTAACAGAATAGAATCCTTACGGGAAAACAGTTGAAAAGTGTCCAACATGTAGAATCCAGAACTAGTAGAGAGACTGTCTCACCTGCTACAATCTACCAATATAAGTCTATGCAAAACTGTGCTCTGGATAACTGACTTTTATGGCTCCCCAGTAACAGGCTCGAATAAGGCAGATCAAGCCTAAGAGGTAAGCAATAGCCCAAGAAACATATGTTGCATGAAAACGCATGGCAAAGTCTTGTGTACCAACCTGGAAAAGAAAAAGAGAGCGTCAGATGCACAACAGTCTGGGTTCTTGGAGGACACTAGTGTTTCCTTAAAGATATTTAAGTATAAACCGATATGAGTTGCTGTATTTTTTTTTTATACTCCCAGAGATATAGAATATTAATTAATTCATTAGAATAAATTATACCAATATTATAAGTGATGTCAAACATGTAAGCTGTTTTTTGTTGTTTTTTTTTAAATCCAGCAAGTTTCTTGTTCGTACTCACTTTAATACAGAAAATCCTCCACTAATTTAAGCATGCAAACAGCTTGTTTTCCACCACTAAGTTAAGAAGGCTAAGGGGGAAGTATACACCGCCCCCCCACAATGGCCAAAGTAAAAATAAATGCAGTTTACAGAAGCAGTAGATGATTTCATCTGCATACACATGAAAGGCAATATGGCTTATCTAGGAATGATACTGTAAGGGGCATATAAAAGACATTGTAGAAGATGAGGAGCTGCAAGATGTGAAAAAAGCATACTGGGATGTGAAAACCTTAACTTATGCCAAAACAGTGTTGCATGTTCAGTGCTCTAGAATGAAACCAGTTTTTACCACTGCCCAATCCTAGGCATAACACTAAATGGGTAGATAAGATAATTAAGTCTGCTATTTTTAATTTTCCTGGGTGGCCCATTATTTTAGTTAGATTTGGCTAAATCAAAGCATCAAGCCAACCTTTTATACATCTTTCATTATTTTCTGTACTTCTACCTTGATCAGTTTTATTAATTTCATCTGTAAAAATACTTCTAAATTTTGTAATTTTCCCTCCTATTCAACTCTTCCCATTATTTTTACCTTTCTCTGAGCTCATTCTATTCCTGCTACTTCCATTTTACGATGGGGTGATCAGAAACTAGCATATTATTCAATAGGTAGTACCATTGGTTTATATAATGGCTATTTTATATATACACTATTAATTTATGTACTTTTATTAATATAGCCCAAGATCTTGTTTGATTCTTTGACCACAACAGCATATTGATCAGATATTTTCTCTCAGATTTTTTCCTGTGTTTGCAGATATTAGAATCCATTAGTTTCTTTAAGGTGGCTAATTACTCATTACAATGTGCCTCACTACATATTTGCATTAGTCACTGTATGGGTCAATTGCATAGCTTCATAGGTCCTTCTTAAAAATTCCTCACAAAGCGTATGGGCTTTTCAGTGTGACAGAGGTCAGGTCTATACTACTGCTTTCTGCCAGAATAGCTATATCAGCCAAAGGCCCAAAAAGGTCCCAAAATTCCTAGATTCCTTGCTGGGGTCACTTGATACCAGCTGACTTTCTGCCTATGGCGGGGCGGCTGGACCAGATCATCTCTTGAGGTCCCTTCCAGCCCCTAATGTCTATGAAATCTATGAAAAAGGTTTCAATTCCAACTAACATCAGAGACCTATTGTATTCTTTTTTAAACTAGAGGTGTGGTTTTACCAGTACAGCTTGTTTCATTCATGGGTGGTGGTTTTATTGTACTTTTACAAAGTGCAATTTCACTAGTATAGCTGCATCCATAAGAACACTCTGCCAATATAGTGTACGTGTAGTTTTATACTAATGAAATGCTCTAACAGAGATTACTTGCAGACTATTAATATACATTACACACAATCATAATTGGATCCAAAATGCACACTGTCATTTTAGTTATAAGCATGCTTTTAATGTTTAGTGAATGATGTAACCGTACCAAGTTTATGTATTATGATGTTGTAGTTATATACTCAGACTAAGGCCTGACTGGTAGGCTCTGAGGGAGGCACAAAAGAACCTAATACTAATACATTTTGAACCATGTTGTTTGAAAAATAGATAGGAGAGGCTAGTGTATTTACTCAAATACAAGGTAAGGTCACCCTCCACCCCAAGTCAGAATGGGAAGGGGGGAGAAGCCCCACATCTTACATCTCATCTGCATACAAGAAAACCTCATTAAATACATTGTCCATCATTAATCTGCTGCCAAAAACAGAATGTACTCAGTAATGAAAACCAACTGTGAAGTTCATTAAACGCACCCAACACTGAGCATGACTATAAAACCTATGATTCATACTGGACAAACGTAAGTGTGCATACATGTCCCTTCAAAATAAAAATGGGTGGGTGTTGCCTCCTCAGGGAACTGGCACCAGGACTGAAGGTATTGCAATACCAGGTCAGCACTCGGAAGGCCAGAGCCAGCCCCAACACCCTTTCCTTGGTGCCAAAAAAGCTATATTTGATCTTGGCCAAAAAGGCTAACATGCTGATGGGAATCTACCACAAGGACAAGTTAGTACAACCTGTCTGAATAAAATACGTGTTAGTGGCCATTGTGCACAGTCCCCCTCAGCACCTATTCTTTTTCAAATCACAGTGAACAACTACACTGAATACATTTAGACTTCCTCTTCACTTCCACAGCTAAGCTGTGCCTTTCCCATTTCCAAAGATCCCTGTGTCTTCACCAGCCTTAATGTCTGGCAAACATCAAATAGGGCCCCAAACAGTTCAACCAGAATCCCTCAGTTGCCCCATCTCTCAGCCTGTCGCATATGATTAGCATGGGCCGGCCCTCCATGAGGTGCAACTGGACCAGGCTGTATGTGCAGATGAGGCACAGGGCATTTTTGGAGGATCCCAGGACTCAGGACAAGAACAAGCGGGGGCTAATCAGCATCTCTCTCTCTCCTTTGTGAGGGTCTCTGGAGTACACATACATATTGAGCAGACCTGACCTATGGGATCACCATGGCTTGAAGTGCTGTTGACTCTGCTCAGGTCCAGTTCAATGAACTATATGGTAAATCATAAGTCTTTTGTCTTTGAATTAATCATGCATAGTTTGTACTATATATAAGTAAGTGCAAAAATGCTGCTTGAAAGTGTGTTTATGGAGTACCTGCAATTTCAGAAGAGGTAAAATGCATCAGTTCTGACTGAACTAAGCCCGTGGGTACTATATGCAGATTACTTCAGGTGTGTTTATTTCAAGGTCAGTGTTTTCAAATTTCCTCCTTACTTCCATGCTCCCAGGGGTAGCAGAGTCTGACAGTAAGGAAGGGGGGGAAGGGTCTGCAGAGGGAAGAAACTGGGGGGCAGAGGGCAAGGTGGCAACCTGACCTCCAGATTTAAATTTTCCCTGTGGTAGCACTGCAAGTGGGACAAATTCAAGTTAAACCTCCAATAATTAGATTCTATGCCTGGAACGTTGTAACAAGTTTATACATGTTTCATATATAGAATCTAATTATTAGGGGTCATCTTATATTTGAGTAAATAAGGTCACCTATGGACAAATGGACACAATCCAGTACAGTCCAGAAAGCCCCAACTAATAGTAAGCCAGGTGAAAATTAAGACTCCTTTCTCCGAGTGTTTTACCTTCCCTAATGGTGCTTTTCAAGGACCACTGAGGAAGCAGTCTAGCCTTACACGGCAGGGAGGCAGGCAGGAAGCTAGGAAGAATTCTGATGGAAATCTACCTGATCCTTATGAAATGTGGGTGTTCTGGCAGCATATTTCAGATTTCAAGTCAACATTTTAAGTGGAAAATGTCTGGCCAGCTGCAGTTGGTTGATCTTGCCCTCAGTGCCCTCTCAGTCCCTAAGAGCAGCTCAGTGAGCGTACTGAAAATGATGAAGCAGCCCAACTGTGGAAACATTTCAATGTTTCTGAAATGAAAATACTCCGAAATTTATTTCTGTGAAAAATTAAACATTTGCCTTTTTGTCCCAATTAAGGACAACATTGCTTCCCTAACTTTGCAAGAGGCAAGGATTTCTTATGGCAATATCTTTTATTGGACCAACAGTTTAACTGGGATAGAGTTAGATAGTTGGTCTAATAAAGATATCACCCTGCATAATTTCTGGATCATCACAGCTACATCACCTTAACATTCCCTAACTGTGTGTCTTCTGCAGACATTTCAGTTTGCCACACAGTTCTAAGCAGAACCTTACAGAAACCTTCCTGCCTTTTATTTATTTATTTATTTATTTAAAGATGTGTGCTAAAATATGAGTTTCTGCTCAACAGTGGTCAGACAGTACTAGAATGTTGGAACTGAAGAAATGCTACTCAAATGCTGAGAGTTGCGAAAACAGTGGGGCCCCCTGTGAAAATTAGCATTGAAAAATACATTACTCACGGTTAGTCCAACTCCAATGAAAATGCATATCATTCCAATAGTAATGTATGCACAGCAGCGCCTTCTTGGTAGTGCACTTCCAACAGAGGAACTGCAGATGAATAGTATGTTAAATCCAAACAAAATGAGTTATTAGACAGTAAAACACAGCCCATCTACACACACAAATCACGTTGAAGCAATAAAATTGTAGGCCAAGCTTATTACTAGACTAAATAAGTGTAATGCTTTTAAGAATTACTCTTCCTGTAAGCAGAGTATATCAGAGGAGAACTGTGTCAAGATGAAGATTATCAACCATCTAGTGTCTGAACCAACATAGTATTGTGATAAGGAGAGAAATTATAGTTCTACACTTTATGATTGCCTGCTGTGCCTGTGTATCATCTGGCTTTATCCAAGTCTCTTTTTAAAACAAAAATTATCAAAAAACTGAATTACACTAAAACTATTAGATGTCATCACTGGTGTGCTTCTCTTTTCTCTGAAACTGTCTTGCTGTCATAGAAAAATGCTCCATATTATTCACTAAAAAAAAAAAAAAAAAAAAAAAAGGTTTCTCAATGAAGACTTGATTCTCCGACACCCATATGACCACATACTCAAATAGCTGAAAAGAGGCTTATACTGTATTATCCCCTTCCTGGTTTTCCTTTTTATTTGGATTGGTAGACTTGGTCCCGGAATAAATGCCAGGAGTGACCACGCTATGGCTAATGAGCTGTATGCAGCTTCAGGGTAGTTTGTGCACAAAAATATGTAGTTAAATGAAATAAATAAATCTTTTTCTGTTTATTTATTATTTTGTATTTTTGATTTTCTTTATTTCTTATTATTTGTTCTGGGAACTCATTTAAAATTAGAACAGATTATTCTTTGAGCTGTAGGTCTATATGCAGATCACCAACTCCAAGCCATGCTGGTTTTGAAAGTTGTGTGTCTTGTGCCTCTTAGCCACATCAAAATTTTAAACTTGCAGCAGGAAGGGTTAGGAAGTTTGGCCAGTATTCAGTGCAAGGCTATACTATACTGAAATACACTGTGGACACCAACTTCAAGACCAACAGCAGTGTCTTTGTGAGCTTACTAATATACATAAAAACTCTGAACCAGGGTAGCTATAAACACTTAGGCTAGATATAGATATTCAAGAAGTCGGAGGCAGAATCGATCTAAAATTACAAAATTTTCTGTAAGCAGTGTAGTTTAGATCAGTAGTAAACAGACCACACATTCGCCCTTTGGTTTGGGGGGGGGGAGGAAGGTTCTGCTGTTTTTAAACCAGTGTGTGCGTGCTGAACTTCTGTCCTGTTACAGGTATATGCCAGTTTCTGTTCACTTATACTGGTAAATGTGGAATGTCTGTACCTGGCCTTGATGTTTGGTAAGTATTAGGTGCAGAGCATCTCAGCCTGACTCTTCTTTGTGCTGTATAAACATACCCCAAATATGTTCTTCCTTCATCATGTCTGGTTCAGTCAAAGCAGAGATTGTAATAGATATGAGAGTTTAGTTATTTACCAGGAGTGGATGAGATTCTCACTTATTAGCAAGGGGGAATAACAGATTTCAAAATTAATTCTTCACTACTTCTAGGTTACAAGGATGCAATTGTCCTGTAAGGTGGTTAGCTGGTACAGAGGGTACAAATTCTAGGGAATGAGATTGCAAAACATTTCCTCTTCGGCAGTGGTCCCCAAACCTTCACTGAGCAACAATACAGAACAAATAATGTGCTGCAGGCAACATCAGACTTTAATTTTCCCATCAAGTTAAATTTAATTTTTTAATCCTTTGGAACAGTGAACAATAGAGGGTCTTACAGGCATGTTGCCCATAAGCTATGGGTGGGAATACCCAATTTAAGGTCTGCACTAAGAGACATTTAGAGTTATCCTGCCATTACTATGTGCAACTATGGTACTTTTAAAAGTCTGACGTGGAATAACCATGAGTATCCAAGGCAAAGAAATATTTGTAGAAAGAGAAATAACATAGGGAGTTAGGGGCAGAAGCAGGAGTAAAACCCAGGAATCCCAACTCCTTCACCCCATCTCATATCACTTAACTATTTCCTATCTCCAATTCTAAAGTTTATCCTAGCATAGGTAATTAAATTCAGTTTAAAATAAGGTTACCTAAATTAAGAAGAAAATATTTTGGTGTGCTACCAAATAAGTCTTGAACAGTCTTTCTGATTCCATGAAAAAAATGCTTTGGCTCAAGGCTTCAGCATGATTTGCGAGACAACAAAATAGATTATTTTAGATGTTCTAAATCTATTATTAAAAGACTAAAATAACTCAACTACAAATCATATTTTATCTTCAAAGCATGATAAGTCTTTAAACTCTACCATCTCCTAAAGTGATTATTTACAAAGACAGTTTCCTGAAAGAATGTCTCCACTGTCAAAAGAACTCTGTGTGATTTCTTCCTAAAAAGCTTGAAAGTGTTGAAGTTGTTCTACTAGTCATGAAACATGAAAATATTTACTTATATAAAAAGGGGAATTACGCTTGTGAACACTAACCTTTAAGTCCATTTCAAGTAGCTAGGTGAATCATAATCATTTCCAGGTTTCCAGTTGAGATATACTACAAATTAACTGCACAAATCACCATCAGTGAGCAAAGTAAACAAATCCTTTGAAAGCTGCACTACAAACACTTTGAGGAAGGCACCTTGTCTTCAAACCTACCAACCTAAATAAATCTGACTAGAGCACTGCTCTTGCAATTCCTTTCTAAAATTGCCTAATAAAAGTTGCAGAAGCAAAATAGAAAGAATCATGGGATCACAGGAAAGTAGGGCTGAAAGAGACGTCACGAGGTGATCTCATCCAGCCCCTGCTCAAGGCAGGATCATCCCTGACTAAAAACCATTCCAGCCGAGTGTCTGTCCAGCCCGCTCTTGGAAATTTTCAAGAATGGAGATACCTTATGTAGCCTGTTCCAATGACTGACCATCCTCATAATCAGATTGGATGGGACCAACTAACAGCTAACTACTGAAACTTATAGACCGGGACAGGCAATTATTTTGGGTGGAGGGCCACTTACTAAGTTTTGGCAAGCCATTGAGGGCCATATGACAGGCAGTCAGGGGCAGATAAATATTAATTTTCTAAATTTTTTAAGGGCCCCACAGGCTGGATAGAACAGCCTGGTGGGCTGCATCTGGCCTACAGGCCGCATTTTGCCCACCCGTGTTATAGAAGGATATGCAACTTCTCCACAAAACTAATACTTTTAGTTATATTTGTTTTGGGTATTAGGAGAGCCAGGAGACCTAACACCAAAAGTATAACCAGCCCAAATCACAATCTTTTGCATGGATGCTTAAGTATTCTTCCATCCCCCTGTTCTACTTTAAGTATTCTTAATCCATTGCCATTTCTCTGCTGCTTTTAAGTTATGTAGTCAACAGAAGAGAAAGTATCTCTATTAATTGCCCTATTGCTACATGGCAACTTTTGGAGTGAGGGGCAAATGGCAGTAAGCACAACTGTCAGCCCAGCCCAGCACAGACCAGAACAATTTAAGGTAGAACATTTTATTAAACGCGAGTTTAGGATAGCAACCTCAAAATTTTGAAGCAGCACCTGAAATATTGCAAAGAGTATAACCAGAACAGCTTTTTGTACAAAGTTTGTAAAGGCACCAGGTTGGTTCTACTAGTTTGGTCTTTAACTTCCCCCAACAGGGTGGCAGGGCAAGTGTGTTTAGTACCATGAAAAGTACTCTGATTTTTTAGTTCTACAACTTGGTCTGATTGACTATCCACATTTCATTTTTAGTTTAGCAAGTATTATTACCATCAGAGCCACTGGATCCTAGATTTAAAAAGTTATCCAGCACATTACAAACTTCATTTGCTGTCCCTTAATGTTTTAATACCCGTGTTTTAAACAATAAGGTTACACATGAGCCAGTGAGCCAAACTAATTCAAATTCAATGCAAATAAATGAAAAGGTGGGGAGCCACTTCCATCTTCACTAGACTTTGAAGTGAGCCAGCATTACTGTCTGGCAGATGGCTGAGAGATCCCATTAAAAAAAAAATCATAAGAGAAACTTTACCTACTGCCAAAGGAACACTAAACACCAACAGTGCCTTAACTGTTTTTTGGCTGTACCAATGGCTGGAGCCAGTCTCATACGCTGTGTCCAGATGAGCACAGACATGCAGTATGTGGCACTGCAGACCCATTTGTAGCACCACACCGCACATGCAGGTCTTCCTCATTCTGCCTTGCAACATGGGGATGTTTTCTGACCCCAGGAGATCCCGGGGTCAAAAAACACCCATGCCAAAAAAAGCAGGGTGGCACACATGGTGGGAGCATGCACCATCCAAAACCAGAGCCTTGCTGGCTGGAGCCATGCTTGTTTCAGCTGTTGGCCAAGCTCCTAGCTGCAGGAAAAGTGCTGCAGCTGCAGCACCCTGAGGCCCCTGGGACCCCAGGTAAGACTGCTGGGGCTAGCGTAGTTGCTGGCCCCAGCCTCCCCTACCCCACCCGGGGTAACCTGCCATGTGCCAGAGGGTGCATGGTATGGGCACTCCTCAGGGACAAATCACAGCAACACAAGGTGCGTCATTGCTACTTGTCCCTGGGGAATAAATGTCTGCGCTTGTGTGGACACTGCCATAGGGACCAATATACCCTGAGGAATTAAGTTGACCCACCACCATTTTCTTAGAGATGTCTACAATAAACCATATTAAACTCTTGACAAAAAAGGACTTCTTGAGCAAACATTTAATAACTGCTTGTCTCAGCATACCTGGAAGTTTGTCCTTCTCAAAAGAAACATCAGTATTGAGCCTGTAAGCAAGTCACTTGCACTTTCCTTATTAAGGTCAATCAGCTCTGTGCTTGGGGTTTCCAGCCAATTTATTTTATATGGGGTGAACTTGTCCCCAGTAAATAAAACCAGTGGCATAACAACACGAGCTGCTGCCTGGGACAAACCCTGCGGAAGAGAGGTGGGGGGAGGCACGTGGTTTCGAGAGCAAGCGGGGAGGGTACAGGGTCCAAGAGGAAGGGAAGGAATGGGATGCGGGAGCAGGTCATAGGATCCAACAGCAGGAATGAGCACTGCTTTTGCCAGTGCCCGTGCTCTGCCCACCCTGGCTGTTGCTCTTAAAAGCGGCAGCAGCCAGAGACTGTTTTGGAGTTCCCAGCATGGGAATGCTATCAGGGCAGACTTCACGGGGACTGGGTGCCCTTATGGTGCCCCTCCTAACTGGGCACCTGCCCTGGACACCACTCTCACCCACCCCTATTTCCATGACTCAACAAAAGTAACAAAACAAACAAGCCTGCAAACAATCAACAAAACCAAAACCTGCTGTCTTTCTTCAGACCTTGACAGGGACAACCCAGACTCCATGCTTCTCCCTCAGCATCACAGCCTCCTCTCTTCTCACCCCTTGTTCCCTGCTCCTGGAGATATTGAGCTTCTTTGTGGCTTCACTCCCATTTACTAGTCATCCATCAGAGCTGGCTCGCATCCTTCTGGCCGAGCAGACTATTAGCAGCTAGCCACTTGCCACTGGGTTTCAGGCTCCTGAAGACTAAGTACCTTCTCACATATCCTCTCCTCAAGACTGAAGTCTGCATGTTTAAGCCCCCCTCCTGTGACAGAAAAAAAAAATCTTCATTTGCATGTGCTACCCTGGCATAGTTTCAGACAGAAAAAAAGCATACTGTTGTAGGGCCAGGTACCATCTTATCAACCTGGTGTTAGCCACCCACATTGCATGCAGCTGTGTTAATAGGGCAGGGTCAGTAACAAGGACAGAAGAAGTGCTCAGGAGGTAGCTTTGAAGGGTCTCAATGACCCACTTAATTGCAACCATAACATATTTCTGTTCCTGGAGAAGGAGCTTCCTTCTTAAAAATAGGATTCTCCCAAATTCCTGGAATAGAGCAGCTCCAAAGCCTTGTTCTGAAGGGTGATTCCGCAATACAAGTTATTTTGTGAAATCCATGCTACACAGTACAGGGGCACTACGCAGGAGCCGCTTCATAGTCCTAAAAGCTTCCGCACGCTCGGCAGATCATCATACCTTCTTGCGTGCCACACCATAAAGTAGGTCAGTATCACTGCAATAATTGAAAACTGAGAATAAAGTATTGGTAATACCCTGCCAACCCTAGAAACAACTTGCCTTGTTGCTTAATGGTGTCAGAGTCATAGAGAAGTAGGGCTAAAAGGGACCTCCAGAGATCATCTAGTCCAGGGGTGGACAAAATATGGCTCACGGGCTGGATGCGGCCCGCCGGGACATTCTATCCAGCCCACAGGGCCCCTAAAAAAATTTAGAAAAATTAATATTAATATTAATCTGCTCCTGGCTGCCTGTCATGTGGCCCTCGATGGCTTGCCAAAACTCAGTATCCTTATCCAAACCATCCCACATACTACCATAATCTAAACCAGGGGTGGGCAAAATGCGGCCCATGGGCTGAATGCGGTCTGCCAGGCCATTCTATCTGGCCCACGGGGCCCCTAAAAGATTTAGAAAATGAATATTTATCTGCTCCTGGCTGCCTGTCATGCGGCCCTTGATGGCTTGACAAAACTCAGTAAGCGGCCCTCCTCCCAAAATAATTGTCCGCCCCTGATCTAAACTCTACATAAAAGACTACCCTCAACCCTGACACAACATAGGCCTAACACCCTGACCTGCTACAGGTAAAGCAGGGGAACCATGGCAGCCAATGTTCTGCTTCTATAAAATGCCCAAATGTGAATATATGCTTAAGAGGTTCCAGGTAGAAGTCCATGCCGCACCCCCCACAAGTCCATACCAATCTGACAATAAGGCATAGATGTGGGTTTTCCAGAAAATTTTCCAATGCCCTAAATAGAGCGTGATCTGATTTAGCATGTTTATTTGACGTGTATTTAGTAAACAAAACTTATAAAAGTACCCCCATGTTAATTTTATGTCCCAATAGCCACAAGTATTTGAACTAAAATATTTGATAAGGAAAAAAAAATAAATACAGCACACTTAATGTGGTTTAAAAGTTATATTTAAACAAATTCAAAGCTTTATGTGAAAAGAAATTATTGACCTGAAAGGCTAATTAAGTGAATTCATAACTTGATTTTTGGTTTGGATTATTATGCAAGTGTATTTACCCTCCTGTTTACAAATCAATAAAACATATATGTACCCTCTCAGACACTTCCTAGGGATAATCACCTGAAAAACACTAATTACCACTTTGAAACTGCCAATCTTGCCTAATATTGTACTGGCATCCATTCACTGTTGCTAGTGAATTTTATGAAACAATTAATTTTTAGAAATGGAAAATTTCCAATGGAAAAATAAAGCACTGGAAAAATTTCCACCCCATATCTCTGCAATGGGGTAAAATTCCTTCCTGACCCTAAATATGGCTACTGACCCTCTAGCTAGGAACCTCTCAGCTTCCTAGCAGAACCAGCACACCCCAGTTGAAGTCCCCAGCCTTAGCTGTAGCCAATACCCAATGCCTCTGGGGAGGCTTAAAAACATCCTGATATGTATAGCACAAGTGGGGGGCGGGGGAGCAACCAGTAAAGCCTAGAAGCATAGGAAATACCCATAGTGGAAAATAAACATAGCATACATCATCCCTGAATAGCAGCTGTCCAACCTCTTCTTGAACGCCTCCAGTGAGGGGGAGTCTACAACTTGCCTAGGCAGTCTACTCCACTGCCTCGCTATTCTCACAGTGAAGACGTTTTTCCAGATATCCAATCTAACAGTTTCCATGTTCCCCAGCTATACCATCCCTTTTAACATTTAGTTGAATCATTCAACCAATCCATTCATCTGGGGATGGTAAACTTGAGGTCTTTACCTAATGGATCCAAGGCCTCCTGCAACAACCGTGACATAAATATGGTGATCTCCCGGGGACACCCTACCAATAAACAAGTGTTAATAAATTTTGAGGTGACTGTTTAAGCCAAGGCTGAGTAGATGGTCACTGCTTCTAGGTATCAGTTGCCATAGTTTAGCAGGATAGGAATAAAACAGCAACAGCTGGCACTTGGCTCCAGCAGCTCAAATAGGACCACTCCCACCCACTCAAATAGATTGCTGACCGATGGGTTGGGTACTAATTGGGTTCTATGAGTGGGCCTGGGCCCAACTAGCTGGCACTCTGGGCAGGATATGCAGTAGTCTTTGATGTTTTGGTAGACTCCTAGACAGAATTTCATAGAACACCCTCTCATGTCTTCTCGATCCTCAAGTGACCTGCCTATGGTATGCAGTGGTCTAACTTTAACACTTGGTTTTGTTACTGTTTGGCACCAGCAGCATATACCATTATGTCCCTACAGCTTTGACTCTCATAGCCCTCATTAGGAAGTCCTCTTGTAACACAAAATGAGGATCCTGGGAAGATAAAGCTGGGGTCCACCATGACCCTGCTGGCACAGCCCAAATCAACCATACAAGATGGAAAAGAAAGAATCCTACGTTGTCTTTGAATAATATCTGGACCTTCTCCAACCTACTCCAGGCCTCCTCCCTCCAATTCTTGATGACTCCATGGGGTTTTGGGTCACCTGAACTTTCCCCAGGGTTGGCTAGATCACACAGTATGCTAATGCCTTTCCCCAAATGTCTCCTATGGTCCCCCTATCTTGCAACTACATCTCTCCCGG